ATTCTCTATAGGATCGGTCTCTATTGTTGTCACTTTTTCTAATGCGACAATCTTTTACATAATGTCCTTGGTTACCACAATAGTAGCAAGTAACATCTCGAGAGGATCGATTATTGTTATTATCATTAGATTGGTTTTGAGGAGGTTCATTGTTGGAGTAGTAGGTTGGTTTAGAGGTAGCATTATTCTGTTTCTCAATAAGGTTGATACTAAGTTTAGCAATTTGTTCAGTTAAACTTTCAATTGCCTTGTCAGTATTGTTATAAGTTGGGGATACCATAAGTTGTCCTGTCTCTCATCTGCGAGCAATAGCAATAGCATTATTAAGGGTATCGGGTTCAGACACTTGGACATTAATAGCATATTCAGATCATAGTCCTTGGATAAAAAGTTGGATAAGGAATAAGTTAGGGAAATCATCGTCTAGGTCTACTTGTTCCTTTAACTGTTTAAACTTATTAACATAAGTATCGATAGTGTCTGATCCTTGTTGTATAGCAAAAAGTTGTTTTTGCCATGTAGCTTTCTGTTTAGAGGTGCAAAATCTTTCTCTAAACATATGAGTAAAACTATAAATTATTGTATCATCAACTTCAGCTTCATGTTCGTTATGGTGAAAGTGTGTTGGAGCATGGTTTAAACTTCGTAACCATTCTCGTGCATTGCTTTTCAAATAGGCAGAAGCTAATTCAAGTTGGCGAGCAGGGTTCCATCGATTAGCTTTGCTAGCTTGTTTAAATTCTTCTAACCAGATTATAGGGTCTTGGGTACTGTTACCACGAAAAGATTCAATTTTAACTAAAGATTTTTCACTGCCAGCTCCTAGAGCTTCAGCTAAAGCAGTCATAGCTTCAGCAGTATCTTGCATGGCTCGGTCACCTATAATTATTTCTGGTTCGTTAGTTTGAATAGTTTCGTTATCAGAGTCTTCTTGGTGTTCTGCTTCTAAGTTATTATTAGGATTGAAGAGATTATTGAGACCTAATTCTTCTTGGTTATTATTATTATTAAGATGGTTATTGTCTAAGATTTGAACTATCTCTTCTTTTTGGTTATCCCTGTTATTGTTAAGATAGTTAGCGTCCCAATATTGAACTATCTCATTAAATAGGTTATTAGTTGATTTATTAATAGCTTCTTGGGTAAAGGAATTTGATCAAAAGTTTCTGGTTCATTTTCTTCTTGGAGGATTTGTAGAGTAGTAGTAGGAAGAAAAAGAGGTTGTTGTTGAGAAGGTGGAGTATAAGAAGGGGTGTAGTAGGAAGATACAGAAGAAGTTTTAGAAGAACCAGATGATTTAGTTAATGAAAATTCAACAAATTTAGAAGTTGGAAACTTTATATCATTATCATCTAGATTAGAACCTGATGAATCTTCAAATTTAAGTGAAGATGTTATACACAGAGATAAGGATTTTGATATAAATGAACTTATTGATAGTTTAGATTAATAATATATTATTTATATCAAAGTTCGAAAAATTTATATATAGCATACTTATCTTTTTACATTTCATAAAGATATATATATACTTAGTAAGTAATCTTACTATGCTTTTCAAACTACTAATATTATACCTTATGGGTAGCAATTGATAAAAAATAAAAAATAAAATAGTAAATATGCAAATAAAATTAGTTTGAAAATAAATCATTGAATTTTGCAAATAAATAAGTCTATTGCTTTTAGGTATATTATTATTAATAGTTATTTCTTAAAAAAATTATATTTATAAAATAAAACAAATAAAGAGAGAATTATCTAACCTGTTATCATCTAAATCACTAGACTTAATAATGCTAATATTAAGTCATAATCTAATAAGTTTTGTAGCTATTGATTTGCGAGTATAATATATATAATAAGTATAGTACAAACAAGACCTAGTATATTTGATGATTTAATAGACTTATAGTTTGTTTAGCAATTATATGAGTCTTATAGATCTATTAGATTTTATTAACTATATACTAATAAATTGTGATATTTATTTTTTTTGAATATTCAAAATATATAAAAAAGTAAACTAATTATAATCTAATACTAATTATTTTTGTATTTCACAAGTAAACCTCTTCTTGTAGGCTCAAGATCTTAAATAAGTAGAAGCAAACATAAATATTGAGTTTGAGGAATGACTACATAGAATTTTTAACATAATAATTATACTTACCAAGACAGCTTCGTCTTGAATTATTTATTTTTGAAGACTGTAAATCTAACTTTAAGGATTTAGAAAGCTTCTTATATCATATAGCATGATTTTTTGATACTCTAGCTTTTTTATTTTTAATATTTATATCTATTTCTGTATTAATATCTGAATCTGAATCACTAAGTAGAGTGCTAAATTTTCTATTTTGCTTGATTGATGTTGCATGTATAAAAAAAACAACACTATGACGAATACCAGAAATAACTGAAAGATTACTATGAACTAAAATATTTGATCTAAAAGCTATAACTTGTTCCTGTTTTGCATAAATTATTAGCTTTAACTCAGGAAATACTAATTGCCTACCCTCAAATATCCTAAGTGAGCAGACAATACAGAGTGAATTAGGATGGTCCTTTAGATCCCTATGAAATTAGCAGATAATATTAAAATTAACTGCTATAGTAGGAAAAATACCAAATGGTTTAGGAATATTTGGTCCAAGATAAAGTTTTCTCATCTTTGTATACAAGGTCGAATATATATCTCTAATATAACTATTAACAGCATTAGATAATAGTTGAAGACTTTGTATTAATCCTTGAATATATTTTAAATGATCCTTATTATGAGATGAGGCAGTATTTGATGTTGTATAAGGCTCATTGTTATTGTCTATAAAAGCACCAAAATGCTCAACCAATTCTTTTGAAAATTCTTTAGATTGGTGAGATGGATTATTAAACATATGAACATAGTATTGTTCTACTACTTTTTTTGCATTTTTTGCAATTTCAGAACTCTAAAAAGTGTATAGATCTACTATTGTTTCTCCAAGAGTATTCTTAAAGTATTGTAGATCAAATACATGGTGATATCTTTTTTATATTGATATCATCTTCTGACATCTTCTTAGTCAATTCATTAGCAATGATTTGTTTTTCTTTTAAATTTCAACAAAGTAACTCAGAGATTATTGATTGCTCTAGTGAAACTTTTTCTGCTTTTATGCACTGCTGATATGTATACTTAACTTTAGACTAGAGGCACTGACAGTGATTATGAATCTGCTTGTTAATAGAAGGACTAATTGCAAAAAATGCCTACAAAGCAAATTGCTTCCATTCTAAATTAGAATTTTTATTTATAGGTTTGGTGTGATTAAAAATTTCTAATTCTAGTAAATCAATAAATTTAGCAGGTATTTGAAAAGTAGTTAAAATAGGATGAATAATTTGAGTAGTTTAGGGTGATAGTAATTTTTTTGAGTCAATACTAATATTATAATTATATAGTTCATTCCAAATATTTTCAAGGTTAAAATTAGAAAGAGTATTATATTTAAAGAAAAAGATATTTTGTTTTACAGCATCTAATAGAAGCAATTCTCGCTTCAGTAAAATCTTAATAACTTGCTGTTGCTGTCTTTTCTTAGCAAATTTTTTGAAAAAGGTAATCTTTGGATTTATTAAAAAAATAGATTGCAAATTATTCATTGGCTTAAGATCGCTTACTGTGAAATCTTCAGATTTCCAGTAAGATAAAATATATTCACGTGATTTGCTTTTAGATCAACAAGTCTCACTTTGAGTCTTGTGCTAGAGAATATATATTCAAAAAATTAATAAATTGATGTACAAAAAATACTTTATCGTAAATAGTAATAAAATCTTCTCAGTAGATACATTCGATCACTTTTAGTAGTGTGGTTCAGAGGCTTTAAAACTCTTGAAGTCTGCATTACCTTCTTCCTTACACACGCCTATATCAAGGATGATGATCACGCTGAGATAAAGAAAAAATATAACTCTGATTAGAGAGAGAACAGACAGATCCTAGGCCTGCCTCAAAAGGCAATGACTGTTCCTAAGAAGACTATACTATAAAAAAAAAACTAAATATAATAAAAAACAATTAACATATTTTTAGAAGATCATAGAAAATATTCTCTCTTTTATTAGCTTGGTTAACTATAATATTGGATATGGAATTGACCTCATTGATAATTAAACTATCAGACTTTTTAATTTTTGCTTTTTTTGTAGCATGCAAATCCTTTTTACGAAGATTTCTCTTAGAGGCCTTTGATAAGATAACAGGAGTATTTTGCAATGACATAATAACAAGTTGTTACAAGTGGTATAGCCTTCTTAGTATATCACAAGTAACATAAGACATGGAAGAGGGACTCTCAACGGTGTCAAAGCGGGATATTACTTCGCAAGGGCGATTCGTTAGAAAGATTATATTAAAGCAAAGAGTATTCTTTATTTACGATACAATA